GGGGGCGGGCCGGCCGCCATCTTAGAGCAGTGTGAGGGGCGCGGGGCGGGCTCGGCCCGGTCGGGGCGTGTTGCAAAATGTGGAATATGTACAGATTTACTTAAGAAAGGATGCTTTTCGGTGTTTGTATAATTTCAAGCCTAAGCAACAATAAGGGTGCTTTAACCCGTGAAATATCAGCTAAGGAGCGAGCTGTCGGTAGAATTGCCTTGTTAAGGTTTAGGGCTGGACATGCTTCAGTGACCCCAGGCCTAGGGGAGGTTAATAAAAAGATGTAGCATTGATAGGGGACTCAAAGGATGCAAAATTTATGTGCCGCGAGGACGGCCTGAAGCTGAACCATGAGAGGTTTAGGATGCAATGAGGAAAAGGTTCTTCATCCAGAAGGGGACTGGGTGCTGGAATGGGCTCCTCGTGGAAATGGTAACAACACCAAACCTGACAGAGCTGAAGGAGCACTTGTGCAACCCTTTCAGACACATGGTGTGACGCTTGGGGATGGTTCTGTACAGGGCTAGGAGCTGGACTCAATGATCCTGGTGGATCCCTTCCAACCCAGCATATTCTATGATTTTATGATGTTTGGCAGAACCCCCAAGATAAGGAAGAAACTCATAAAACCAACACAGCAATTGTGCTCCATCAGCTCTGGCTGGGCAGAAGGTATTTCTGGCAGGGGCAGATTGTGACCACCGACCCAAGAAACACACTGACAGATAGAACAAATAGACTGAGCATGCAGACTAATGAGCATGAGAAGCGAGGGTATCATTGACCATCAGAAGACAGAATTGTAATTAATAAGAGAACTAGGGAATTTGTAGCCAATGAACATTAATGGCTGTGAACATTAATGCCTAAATAGTGAAAAGTTTTGTTAGTCATGCTGGCTTTGTGGATTTGCCACCCAGCCCCTTTTCTGTGCAAAACCATAAATAAATCAAATTCCTCCACTCTGTGCATGCAAGTGAAAGAACCTGTTTTGGAACAACAGGGGGAGTGGGACCAGGACTGGGACCAGCTCCTTTGCTCCTTAAGGCACCTACAGGCTCTGACAGGAGCTGCCAACCACAGCCCAGTGGGCACCAAAATCCCATTTTAAGCCACTGCTGTTTCAGTAGGAGTCTTGCTGTCACCTGTGGGTCACACACAGCCACACTCTGCAGAAACAGCAGCAGCAGAAGCCTCAGCCCTGTGTCAGTCACACTCAAGATGGTTAACAATGTTTTTAAGATCGTGCAAAAGTCTCTCTGGCATTTTCCTTTTTGTGCACACAATTTTAAATTAGGGCTAAAAATGAGCAAAACTCCTCCTTGTGTCAGAAGAAGGAAAACAGAGTAATTTTAATCTAATTGACCTCAATAACCTCAACACACAAAACGCTGTCATCTCTGCAGGCTACTCTATAGTTCATAGTATATATACTAGATACACTATATACAATAGTATATATAGTATATAATCAATACATAATATAGTATATATATACAAATATATAGAAGGAATATACTGTATATTGTCTACAACCAATGGAGGCCTCAAAACTGTATATAATGTGTTGACATGAGGCTAAGGATTAAAAGCACCGTAATATGTAAAATTTTGATCTCAATATTGTCAGGTTATACCTTAGGAACAGAAAAAAACTGCTCAAACAGAAAATCAGTGAGTTTTTTTGGGTGTTTCAAAGCAATGCTAACCATTTTGATATTTTTTTTTAATTTGAATTTTTACTTACCAGGAATACTTTGCCCCTATACCTTGGTCAAGATACACATATTACCCACAAGACTTAAAAAAATAAAATACCGTGAATGAAATGCTCTTTATGAACACAATTTTAAATGAAGAAGTGTCTTATTATCAGTTTGCATTAAGTTAAATAATTACTTCAACAATATTTTTCAGACTGCTGCAAATTTACACAGTCAAATACATCTTTTGCAAAACTGTGCAGGTTCATACATGCAAAATAAACAGGTATTAGACACACTACCTAAGCCAAGCATCAAAGATTAGGAATCAGGTTACCCCAGTACAAAAGACCACAGATGTGATGCTGCAATCTTTAAGAATGCAGTCACATGGTTTTGTGTCTTATTCAACTCAAGAGATTTGTTTCAACATCGTTTTGAAGCCACATGCCTTGTTTACTGTAATTATTCAGCACACTTTGAAGTCAGAAAACACTGAAGCACAAAGGAAAGCTCACAGTTCTCCATCCCTTGGTCTTTGGGACTGCAAGTCTTTCTTGTTTCGTTTTCTCTAGTTTTGAAGCTTCTGACCTCTCTGCAAGGCAGGATACAATTTCCTCAGTGGCAGACACTGGTTTTAGGATGGGTTTTATGTGTTTAGAACATGCAATCAACAGATCTGAAGTAGCAGACAGAGGTTATAAAATCTCTGGAAAAAGGTTTCAGCAGGCAACAAGCTCCCAAGTTTTTCACAAGTGGTCTTGCAAGCCTTAGCTTATTTCTTAAACATACCTGCTTTAAATTATATTTAAGTGCTTGGTCAAAGGTAAATAATATTGAACAGGTAGAACAGGTGCCTTAGTGCCTGTTCACATTTCATATACAAGTTATTAGCTGATTTTTCATACAGAATTTTCCATAAAACTCATCAACATATTATCCAAATCCTTTGAACAATGTGGGAAGGTTGTGATGTGTTCCTTTACTTTACAAGGAAGAAGCTGAAAGATTATGGTAAAAGTCCCACTAAATGTGGGAGCTTCATTTCAGGTAAGAGAATATTTTATTCACTGCCCACTGCCAAATGTTATTTCCAATTACATCTATCCACAGCATTATTCCAAAAGCAGAGAAAAAACCCTGGGATATTCTGCACTTTGTCAGGTTAGATCCCAGGTTTGCAAGATGAGCACTTGGGAAACAAGCCTGCAAGAAGTTTAGTGTGAAACTTTGAGATGCAGGAAAAGAAAATAATCTTTTTCAGGTCAATTAATATTTAACTCTGACTACGCAACATTGAGGAATTTTCACAAAAAATTAAGAAATCCATCAGCAGTAATACTGCCCCATGCTGTCCCAACTCAACTCCATGGAACTTCCCTTTGAATACTCAGCACCATTAGAAACAAAAAGGTCAGCACCAAACAGAGCAAAGCTGAGCTCCAGTGCTCCAGAACAACTGTCACCAGTCTGAAACTCTGGAGTGCAAAGCTCCAGGCCCAATTTCTGCTGCATTTGAATGGGTTTGGGGTTTTTTTCCACATTATGAATATCGCTGAGATTTATTTGCCATATGATTCAACTGAAGCCATTTTAATTCAGTTCTGAGAGACCTGTTCCACAAATCTGTAGGGCTGCTAGATCCACAAATGCCAATGTTGAACAAAGCAAGCTGTGGTTAAACTGAAGGCATTTTTAGTGTAGTTAAAAAGTGACTTATAACAAATCTGTATCTCAGTTTGCTTGTCTAGTCTCTGACACGAAAGGTACAGCGAATTCCTTCCTGGAACCAGCAGCACGCGAGGGAGGATATGGAATTTTGAGAGATCCCTCAGTGCAGCCAGGCTGCTGGAGCTTTAAGGATAAGGAGAAAAGGCAGCAAATAGAACAAAAGTGAATTTCTCCAAATATAAGAGTTTAGGTTTCTTCTGGTTACAATGCATTTCTTAAGGTCTACGTCTGTGTCGCTTGTTTAATTTTACTTCAATACAAATCTGCAGCATCTTAAAAAAGGAAATTCAAAGTAACACCCATGCACCATTGACACGACCCAGCAGCACTTACGGGAGCGAACTCATTTGCGCACCACAAAAGCGAGTTTACTAAAGAAGCGGAGCCGTACTTGTCTTTGCCGGGCTGTCACTGCTGCCGGGCTTGGACACCAACCCCACCAGGGATGCGGACTTCAGGGCGCTGCCATAGCTCAGCGCCAAGTTTTCCGAGGCTTTCCTGGCCAGAGACAAGATCGGAGCAGACCATCGCGCTTCCTCCGGTTTCGCCTTCTCCTCGTTCCTCAGCTCAGCCGCGTCAGGGATCTGTTTTTTATCAATAATCTCAAAGTCTTCCTCCTTTCCCGCGGCGGGCGCGGCGCGGCGCTCCCCGGCAGCCATCTTGGACGGGTCACATGACCGCGGGCCGGGGCGAGGGAGCCGCCCCCGGCCCGGGTGAGAACCGGGGGGCTCCGGGAACCGGGACAGGAACCGGGACGGAACCGGGAACGCGGGCAGGTCCCGGGACCAGGGCAGATCCCGGGACCAGGGCAGGTCCCGGAGGCAGCGTGAAGCACCTGCAGCCAGAGGCAGGGCTGCAAGACAGGCCCGGTCAGGACTGAGCACTTCGCTTCGTGTTCAGAGTTAAAGGGCGTGGTAGATGAAGAAAGAGTTTACCTTTGAATAAGTTAGGAAAGGAACAAGAAGTAAAGGTTTTTACTGTTATCTGTTTCCCCGGACATAATTAAAATAAAAAAAAAATAATGTGTTTTGACGTCTCCTATTTACACAGTTAAATTGTGGCAGCTTAACGAGATCTCTTATTGCTCTGCCTGTGAATCAAGTGGAGGATTGGAATGACAGCTGGACTGCTGTGAAAAGGGCTTGTCCTCATCACTGACATGAAAACACAACTACTCACTAAAACCACTTCTTTAATGTGTATGGGCTGGGTTTAACAGGAAGATCTACCATGAAGGGGAACTGAAATTACCCCAGTATGAAAATTTGATCTTGCTGTCTGCCTCAAATATTGATGTAGCCTACTGATGTATGGCTTGGTAACTGTTTTTCCATCCAGCAGCTGCATGTGCTTGAGATATGTCACTGGTTCAGTCACGAGGTAGCAGATGCTGAGTATGAGTGTTTTGTGCCACATAGAGGAAAATCTTTTGGGTGGTGTGTGTGTTTTGTTTTGGTTTTTTTTGGTTTGTTTGCTTTTAAGAAATAGGAGAAGGAGGATAGAACAGGAGAGTTGAAGGTCAATTTCCTTAGTCTTGCAGCAATATAAATCTTCAGGTCTATATATATATTTTTTCACCCTAATATAAGCTACTTTATGATCAATTCTTGCCTTCTTAGACACTGACAATTTAACAACTTGTGTTACACAAAGCACATGGAAGCTCTTATATTTTTGTTGAGAATTCAGAGATCAGCAGCCTCTCATTCAGCCATGATTCAGATGAGCTAAGGACAGACTTTAAGCTACTTTTGCTAAAGGCTGCTAGAAATAAGTTCTGCTCCACCTTGTGGACTCCAGCAGTATTGGGCTATTTGTAAGGAAATAGCTCAGCTCTGCAGGTTGCTGTCTTGCAGTGAATATATGACTATACCTCTTGACAGGCATAAGACTTAATAGTGTTTTTCTGCCTTTCATTAGCTACCCAATATTAGAGTCAGGGTTGAGAAAGTAGTCTTGCTTGGAAGCAGAATTCTAAGCATTAAAATAATGGGTTTTTTCCCAATGCATCTGAAGAATATGGCATAAAAGTTTTGTGACTGAGAACATAAGATTTAACCAAGGCTCCTCTTTACCCCATTATGTTGCTCCCTTAAGATAACGATGCCTCAGACTCCTCTTTACAGCCTTACAATGAGCTATTTCGTAAATATACGAAGTGAAACTGTTTTTGTGATAATATTTTCTTATGTTACTATTAAAGAAACATTGGATAATTTTATATCAAGTGTCTGATGAGAATTTATACTGTGCATAGTGAATGTGCTAAAACTTTTGCTACATATGATTTAATTTTGCTTCACTTACTACTATTTGGTCAAAATTACTTAATCACCCACTGATTACTTTAAATGCCCTCTGTCCTTTTTATTTTAAAGCAAGCAAGAAGTCTTGTGACATTGTAAGGGAGCCCTAAGTTAAAGAGATTTGTTTTGTTTACAAAGTACAATTTCCTAAGGAGTCACTTGGGGCAGCCAAGGAGGGTGAAGTTAATACAGAATACAGCTTTAAGCACATTAAATAAAAAATGAAAAAACTCAAAAACATAAGTGATGTAACTTTGGTTTCGGTTCACTGATTTATCAGGGACAGGCACTATGCATGAATAACACTGCTTACTTTTAGCTTGGAGATTTGGCTTATTTTGGTTTTCTGCAGATGATTCTATTTCACCACTCTTCTTTTTGCAGACCACTGGTCCAGTTCTTGCTACTCATGTGAAGATGAACAATATTTTCTTTTGAAAGCCCATTTTGTGGCTAATTTAGGTCTGCCATTGTTTTAGGTTGCAATGCAAGATGTAACCAAAAGTATGTATTCTATTACCATCTGTTAAAAGCAGGTGGGGCAGTGTTCTTTATCTCTTCCACCACCCATCCTCCCTCCAGGGGATCTCTTCTCTTAATGGGCCATTGAGTCTCACTGCAGGACTGATAAAATTGCATCATCCCATTGGGAGATGCTCCACCCAGAAAAAAGAGCCAAGCATTCATACCTAGATATAATCTGAAATTTAAAAGACCACAGTCAGCCTTTTTCCAGTGAATTCCCAGAAGAAGACCAGACCATTCTACACTTACCACTGGACCTTCAAAAGAAAACTACACCATTTGTACAGGATCACTGCTTCAACAGAACCACTGTCACTCCAGGAGGACTGCAGCCACCATTTAATCAGACTGCTACCAACACCCTGACCAACAGGGTGTCAAGCTGTATTCTGACTGTCAGTGTTTTTTGTACTACTGCATTTCATTTTAATTTTCCTATTAAGTTGTAGTTTTTTTAAATTTATACATACTGATAAAAAATTGTTATTCCTACTCCCATATTTTTACCTAAAACCCCCTTAATTTCAAAATTCAGAAAGAAAAGCTTTACATTTTCCATTTCAAAGGAAGCTCCTGCCTTCCTTAGCAGACACCTGTCTTTTCAAACCAAGACTGCCATAAATGTCAGTTCTGTGTAATCACAAAAGTACTTAAAGTAGTTAGGGCTCATTGGAAAGTTTGGGGACTAAATAACCCACTTACTACTTTTTGCTTTTCCTAACCCTAGAAATCAAGGTGTTTCTAAAGAAAAAAAAATAATTATGAAGCTAAGTAAAGTTCAGTTCTTTTTTCATGCAGATCCTGCACAGCCTTGTTTTGTTTTACTGTTCCCCCTCTTCTACATGTTCTTATGTGACAGGATAAAAATTCACTTTTTTGAAATATTTAAAAAACAGTGAATTCAAAGTATAGAAAAAGATTATTTGGGAAGAATTCCTACTTTAATCAGGCAACTGTACATTTAATACAAAAGTCTGGCTAGCATAATGATAGGAAATTATAATGTTTCCTTTGGGATCATCATCCAAAAAAAATCCCAAACCCTCAACAATTTCCAGGGCCATGAATGAATTCCTCCATTATAACAGTGATTAACTGATTAGAGACAAACGTTTCTGCTGTTGTTCTACCTCTAGTGCATCTAATTATTTAAGATACTTTCCTATCACTTCTAATCAAAAAGTGATTCAAAGAAAACTAAAATTAGTTGAGTCATTGCACCTGTATTGAGTCAAATATTTTTTTTTTAAATTTCAGAATCACAAGTTTATGCTCCCTGATCCCACTGCACCAGCTAGTGCCATCCTTGCAAAAACTTATTGGTAATGACAGAATCAGCTGTTAGAAACTCCTTTCTATAATCATTAGAGTCCCTAAGAGGACATGGAAATACTTGTAGCTGGAAATGTGTGTCATTGTAGTAAATAAAGGAAAAGACAGCAAAATAGGGAAGAGAAACTTGCATTGAGATGAATCAAAAGAACAGCAGCTCACTCAGTATAAGTTTAAATCAGACAGTTAAGACAAAACACTCACCAGTGTTCAGTATATATTGAATGACAGTCTTAAGAAAGTCCAGGATATTTATTGTTCTACTTTGAACTATTGCCTGGTTTTTAGGGAAAAAATAAAAATCTTTCAATAGGAGTATAGTGGACTAGAACACAGAGTATCAGAAAGAAGATAAACACCGTTTTTCCTTCAGTTATTTAACATTTGCTGGCCCTGTAAAAAGAAGCAGGGGCAGAACTTCCCAGCAGGTGACACTATGGCACCACTTTATTCTAGAGCAGCCTCTGACGCCCAGCAAACACCACGTTGTGCAGCCACCTGAGAAAATACCGGAGAGCTCCCAAGAAAAAGAAAAGTAACAAGCTGAGATGCTCATCTGAGTGACCCCGAAGCTGCTCTGTGGTGGCTGTGTTAATTGGGACCTCCTGGGGAAGGGAAGGAGTTGCTTGGAGCTTCAGTTTGTGACTGTTGAATGAATGGCCAGGAATGCTTTCTAATGGAATAAGAGTCCTACCTGTTCATGAGTCAGGGTCATTTACCAGTTCTAGAGTTTCATGTGGGATTATTAAATTATTAGTCTTTTACAAAATATGTCTTTCTGTTAGAAGTTGTTACATAATGTTCCAAGGACTTTATGAGTAAGAAGGTTTGGATAAATGATATTATTTGGTCTGGTCTACTGGCTAACTTAGAAATCAGAGTGCATCTGTTTGAATATCTTAATTTCTACACTTCATGACCTGTGTGGTTTTGGGCAACACTTTTTCGTGGCTTATCTGGTGGTTTGGTTTTTTTTAAAATTTTTTTGTTTGGTTGGATTTTTAAATTCTCCCTACAATTGCATGCCAACAGTTTTGTATCAAGTACAATTTTGAAGGTTTTATAAAAGTGCTGTAAATTGACTCAACTGAGAGGCATAGGGTCAAAGGAATTATAAATATGATTACAGGCTGAATCCTAGTAAGGTATGAACGCAGTATTTTTGAAATGTGCTGACATTTTTGCTACTTAATGCAGTTTTCAACTAACACACATGAGAATACTTATGTGACTTAATTAGCTGAAGAAATGGGCTCAGATCGTTCTATTAGTGTAACAGAAATAATGCAAATTGCAGAAGAAAATGTGATTAGTTATTATATCAGCCAATGAAATACATTATATACTCCTTAGACAAGTTTAGGAAAATACCTTTATTCTATACAAAACCACTGTTAGTTATTTTAATCATCTGTTTCAAAAGCAAATAATGGAAGTTCATAGAAAATATTTAATCCGTTATCCATACACTAAAGAACATTTAGGAGCTTGTGTGCAGTTCTGGTGACACTTGAGGGCGCAATGTGGCACAAACTGGCTCAGGTTTCTCC